GTGCAATGCTGACAGAAAGTTGTTCATAATTAGAGTAATTGAGTGATTGTGTAGCACAATATTATCAGAAATGTTGATTTTGCTATTGATAGTGACATGACCTTTAAAATTTAAGTCACTGCTCTTTTCCAGATTTGCATATTGGTTTTTATGACCGTAGGGTAATACACATTGGATTTTCTGGACCTACAAATTTTGCCAGTCAAATCATAGAGTTGGAGCAACCCATGCAGACAAAAGACACTTTCTATTAAGACACTTTCAATACCTCTGCCAAGATCATTCATAAATATGAACAACAAGAAGATTGTGCAAGGGATTCATCTTATGATTTTCCTTTTTGCAGCAAGCACCTGAATTTTGGCATTATCTCAGCTAAGATTGGGGTCTGTTCATGTGGGGAACCTGGGATGGGAGAGGATCATCTGATATTTTACCAAATTAATGATGTTGGGGTAATTAATGATGCTTCATATAATGAAAATTATGTATTTAAAAAGCTGTTTAAAAAGTAGTGAAAAGATCTAAAATAAGAAAACACACCTTTCAGCATTAAAACAAAGTAAAATACTGCCAATGCTGCAGACCTGAGATTATAAAAATACTTTTGGAAATATATGGCTGGTCAGGCCACATGTCTGGAGAGAAACGTATTTCAGGCTGAGGTGACCTTTCATCACACTGTCTCCAGATGAAAGATCATCTCAATTGGAAACGTTAATGCTGTACTGCTGAACTGCTGAATGTTTACAGCATTTTACTGTCTTTACTTGCTTTGAGCATCCTCATCAATATAGAAACCTCATTTGCTGCAGCCCAAACCTGCCCCACTAGCCAGAGTTGTAATGTTTGAACCAAGTTATTATTGGTTTTTCCAAACATTAAGTTTGTCCGATAATCAAAAGACAATAATATTTGTATTATGTCACCCTATACCATGTCAAAAATGTCAAAGAGCTTCAAACAACAATTTATTGTTGAATAAGAGTGAATGTTCTCATATAACAATATTTTAATGCTTTCTTCCTTTGGTACTAACTGCAGCATTATTCTGTTTTAATGAATTCGAACTCCAACTGTGAAAAGTACTTTCTTTAATACATTAAGGATTACATCTGACTGTAATTCAGTTCACTGTTTTCTTGAGCATGTTATCGTACATTGTTCTTCCGTCTTCCCACAAGGTCTTTTTAATCTCTTCAGCATATATAATCCAACCAAACTCTTGAAGGCTTAGAAAAACAGTTACAGTTATGCACACAGTAATATTTTCTAAACTCTACAGTTGAAATGACAATCACGTTGTGGTTGTGTCTGTGTTTACCTATTGCAGGTGAGGAAATGGGGCATTTGAGGACTACCACCCACGTCTTTCGCCTGCACGTTATTAATAGAATGAGGGGGCAACTAAACTTTCCATTTCCAGATAGTTATCATTTCCTTTTTTCGCGTAAGAGACAGGAAGTTATAGAAAAGCATGCTGAAAGTTATAGTTGACACAATGGAAAATAACCCCAGCTTTCACCATCTTCTTGTGATCATGTTGAACTATCATGTAGTGAATGTGCATCCTGTATTTCTCTGCTTTTCAAGTACAGTTTTGACTATGAATTTGAAAATCTCTAAAGCTGATATTAGTGCACACACCAAAGTTGCTTATTGGTAAGATTGCAAGGGCTATGTGGCAGAGTCTGAGTGACATGGGTTACAGTGTGATGTGTGGCAGAATTGGGAGACAAGTACAATAACCAATAATCTCAGCAATGGCCTTTATGCTACAAGTGAGATTCTCACTAGGCAGTGGCAATTTGTTATTTGTTGGGGATTACTGTTTGTTAAATGATTTGTTAACAGCCCAATTCAGATAACTAATATTAATAACTAAGAAATTATAGTATTTTACCAAACTCTAGATGGTGGGAAACCTTGACATGAAAACCAGAGCAGGTATCTGGTGGATTCAGGTCACTGCTTGCTCTGAATGACCTCTGTGTTGTCTACAACCAAATTGTAGACCAGTGCACGATCCACAGGCACCAACTGCGTGCACCTTTCTTCCATGTACATTGGCATCTGGCAACCCCTCCTGTCCGTCCTGCCAGTTCTCCAATACACCGGCAGCAGTATGCTCTGGAACCACAGACTTGCACTGCACGGCGCAGAGCAACTAGCATTAAAAGGTTGCTGTGGAACCACCATTTCAACCAGCTCACAGACTGGACCAGGCTGCATCTCAGAGCTGCTTGCCTACTTTCTTAGCGCTCACTCACTTAGCAACTATCTGCATTCCCACACCACCCATACCTTGCATTGGCCTGCCATATCAGTTAGCACAGTCACACAACCAGGCAGCTTGGCTTGCTGCTCAGCAGTCCCTACTTTTGCTGTACAATTGTACACTATGCCAAACCTGCTGCACGTGACAGCAGCTTACATGTGCAACAAGCAGGCAGCTGTGCCTCAAATTCTTAGGGGAGTAGTCCACACTGAGCTCCATAGAGGCATCTGTCAATGAGGGGCTGCTGGCACATTAAGTCAAAGGCAGCCTCCTGTGCCAGTCCAGGAAATTGGCCACTGTCAGGCGTCCAGTTAAGGTGTTATTGGACAGAGGGTCCATGCCTTTGCAGGAGTGGGTCATGGTCAGTTCTTTTGCCTGTCTGGTGGTAGTGATGATGGTGGGGAGGTGGGGGAGACAGTGAAACCATCATCAATTATCAGGAAAACCTCATCTGATTCATTAATGTCCTTTAGGGAAGCAAAGTGTCATCCTTACCTGGTCTGACCTACATGTAACTCCAGACTCAAAGCAGGTGGTTAACATTTAACTGCCCGCTAAGTAATTAGAGATGAACAATAAATGCTGGCCTGGCTAGTGGTGCTCATATTCAGTGAATGAATTAAAAAAAACACCCAGCATGTTCAGGCTGAGGTTGGAACACACTGACACTGTGATGTAAATGTGTGTAATGGGGAAGAAAATTGCTGCGAGCATGTGCAATGGACAGGGTAACTAATTTGACCAGTGAAGGAGAAGGCTGCAGCAACCACTAATCATAGGGCTTTTAAAGGGAAAGGACATTGGATACAGACCAATGCAATATACAGGCCTGCAGGCTGTCTGCTCCCTGAGCACCCTACAGCATTTACACTCTCTGCACCTCCCTGGCACAGCCACTGCCTTGGGCATTTCTCCATAGAGGGCCTGGGGAAGCTGGCTGTACCTGCAGGATACAAGAGGGAGGCAGATAGTGGCCAATGGTTAGAAGTAGTGTGCAATGAATGAGACTGACAGTTGCTGGGAGAGTGCTGGTGGCATTTGGTGGGATATACATTGTTTCTGAATCCCAGCAGGAGTGATCTTCTCCTGCAAGGTCAAGGATTCTCTTTATGTAGTGGGTGAGGATCCTAATGTCACCCCAGCTGTATGGGACTTGATCTGCCCTGTAATGACAGAAATGAATGAATGAGTGAGGTAACAATGGATGGCTTGGCTGTTAGTGCTGGTATATGTGGAGACAGGACTGAGGTTCAGCACAAAGGATATACATGGTTAGTGGTATGGGAGGTCGGGAAGGCGACAGTGAGTGGAGGAAGATGTTCTATGTAATTGAAAATGGCACAGCATGAGCATTGGTGGGGGCATTGGCAATGAGATTGAGTGATAGAGGTGGCAGAGAGATGAATGTGACACCTAACCTGGTGGAGCAGCGAAGGTCATTGGGTACACCCTGGAAATGGCACTAACCCAGGTGGTTACCTTAGACCAGGCTTCCAGGGTCTTGTGGCACAGCCTCCTCTGATAGTCCTCTGGGAAAAAGGACACCTCTGTTTTGGATCATCCCATTCACAAGGATCTCCAGGTTGCTGGAGAATCTTGGTACCACCTCGCTCTTCTCTACCATGTTCTGACTCTGTCCTTCAATGAGTGGACAGCAATGGAATGCTACACTTTCCCAGGTGCACAGCAGGCATGGAGAATGTGGAAGTAAGGACTGCCAGTGTACGAGGTCAAAAGGGATAGAAATCAGACGTGAGAGGTGCCACAATCGCATAGTGAGTAATGTGGCATGTATGATCCAGTGAGAAAACTTGTTAGGCCTTACTGTGAGAATCCTTTCAAAATCTTATTCAAATCAGCTTTACTACAAACACATAAGATTCATCCCATAACTTTGTTTAACTTGTTATCTTGAATTATGTTATTCCATTTTTCATTGTTGTCAGTAGTTTTCTTGATTCACCCCTGAAACAAAACAATGTTCTTCAGCTGATTGGAATGCTGTCACTTTATTTAGATGATAATGGATTATTAGGTGTATTCTAGTTGTAGATTGAGCGTGCTTTCTGACCTAAAGCAAAAGTTGTTTGGCAAAAAATGCTCACTACTTATCTAAGTAGATATTGCAAGCATCGTATTAGTTTCTGACATTCCATCACTGTGCATATTGCCAGTGTTAATTTCCTGTCTAAGTGTCTACTTTCTGTTGTATCATGATTTTCTTTTAATTCAGCTTTTGAACCTGCCTTGGATCATGCTTTTATTTTTGGGAGAATACAAATGAAAAGAGATATTATTGGTTCACAGAAAGGCAAAGGAAAGAAGGGTCCTTTGGGTCTATAATCAGAAATATTCAGGCTCTCTCTGTAAAGGGCTGTATCTGGGCTGGGTCTGTAATGGATTGTATCCGGGCTGGATCTGTAATGAATGTATCTGGCCTGGTCTGTAATGAATGTATCTGGGCTGGGTCTATAATGAATGAATCTGAGCTGGGTTTATAGTGGATTATATCCCAATTGCTGTTTCAAGATTTATTTCACTGTGATTTGTCTTGAGATTTAGAATGTTGCTTCCCTTCTTGTAATGTTTGATTTGCTTTTTATCTGACCATTGAGAAATGTACTTATTATTGATTATTAACAAGTGAATTTGACATTTAATTCCAATTCTATCACTGATACAAGCATTTTAATGCTGTTTCTTTCTCTCTCTTTCATTGCAGTTAATGAAATTATAAGGAAAGATCTTTCTGGACTCACAGCAACAAGCCAATCTTAGACTCAACAAATTGACAATGAATGCTTCCCAATACAATCTTGGAAATTCTCTCCACCACCAGTGACACCCTGTGTTTACTAATGGGTCAGTCGAAGGGTTCATACTCAGCTGCACAATACAATATCCTGGCAAGGAGTTGGCTACTCTGAATAATCATCATGGGAACTCAGCTTAGCAGATTTTTCTCATTATTTCCATTCATTCAGAGTCCTTAAGGGGTCCAAAATCTGTATTTTTAGTTTACTCTTGTTAACCTTTGGTTGATTGGATCACACCCGTTTCCACTCAAATTTTCAAAATGGACTGAACAACAGCCCATCGTTGGATATTTTAGCTTTCTAAAGAAAAAATATCTCTTCCTTGCAACTCCTTTACTTTCAAGAAAAGGGTCTCAAAACATTTTTTACAACTATTTTCATAGACAGATCCAAACATGATTTGGAGTGAAAATGAAATGGTATGAATGAGGTGGTTAACAATAAGAATGTGGACCTATGCCATGTTAACATCCAACATCACAGCACCACAGTTACACATTATACTGGTGAAGACTATACCATCCTACTTTGAGCAAAAATTAGGAAAGGGGTTAAGCCTTGATGCCTTGGGCCTGTTCTACCATTCAATAAGATCATGGTTATCTAATTCCATCGATCAGCCTTTGTTCCATTTCCTTCAATATGTTCAGCAAAAATCAAATAATCTCTGATTTAAAATTAACAACTGAGAGCATTAATTGGCAGAAGAGTTTTCCAAACTTCTGAATTACCCTTCCTGTGTTGAAGTGATTCTGAATTTAACTCCTGAAATGTCCGATTCCAGTTCTTAAACTACACTTACCCAGAATAAGACTTTTCAACCAGTGTAAATTGTACCCTCTTATCTACTCTATCCATTCTGCTTCATACCTTGAAAATCTTAATACATTATCCTTCTGAATTCCAAGGAATAAAGGCCCACTTTGTATAATCGTTCCTCATTTGACCCTTTGGAGTGCAGGTATATTCTAGTAAATATAGAAACTTTGTTTTTATGGACAACATACAGAAAATTAAAGGAGCTATAACAAGTTGTTGCCTTACTTTGAGCCGCAATTGGAGATTAATCAGCAGAAAACACATCTTCCATTAAATACAGTGCATTATTCTGTAACTTGGAAAGTGGCAATGATTCATATAGCACAATTAGCATCAATAACTTGTACTGAAGCTTGTGATCTTCTCTGCCTTATCCCAGCATAATGATGATCTTACTATGGCTTGAAATCACAATTACCAATCTCACAAGCTTACTGTGAGAAACTGGTTGAATCTACAACTAATAGTTACGCTGATCCACCAAATGTTTGTTGATTTATTTTATCAATATCATCAGTCATTGCAGGTTTAAGTTGTTAATGCATAAATCTTTTACAAAATAAATCATTTTTGGATACTAAGTAGGCTTCCAGTGATTGAAGATAGTAATTCAACCACATATATGTAAATAAAAAAAATTTTGCTTTTTCAAGTAATATTTCATGCTGGCTGTTTGATATAACAATTGAATCTACTTTTTTTAAAATCTGTGTGAAGTTATAATTTACATTTTCAAATGAATCAAGATCATATCAACTATGTGTTTAACATATCTGATGTATATGTTATGTGTTTATTTTTTAAAGTTATTGAGTTCAGAGTACAAACTTCTCTAGTGCCCAGGCAACAATTTCCAATTTCATGATCTGTATTTTGGGGGCTTTAATCATCCTTTTTGAAAGCTGTGATATAATCCTTGTACATATCATATGCATCACAGTTTAAATGTTAATTTATCATTTATTCTTTTAAAACGTAATGTAATTCTTTTCATGATAACAGTTACCAGTAACATGATGCTTGGGTTTTTCCAAGTCTCACCATCTCTAGCTGGATTCTTTTGAATTAATGAAACTTTAATCAGTCTGATGGCCCAACTAATTGAATGATGCAGACATTGAAATACTCTAGTCCTCTATATGCTGTTAATTTTCTCATAAAATTTACTGATGCCTGCAATCCTAACCCTAACCTTAACCCTAATGCTATTTACTGATCCTTGGAAAATAATTTTATAATTGATCCTTGTCACTGTCATCATTGGTACTAATTGCAGGCCAATAAACTAAGTGAAAATCTTAATTCCTGCCTCATTAGAAAAGCTGGCAATTTTTTGCCTAATATTTAGAATCTTTGGTTACTTTTTAATCACAACTTTAAAATGTTTCCACTAAATGCTTGAAATATTTTTGGTGGCACATTGGTCTCAGATCTTGTGAATTTTTGATATCACACAGCATCGATACTATACCGACCATCTTGGTCATTCCATTGTCTCTATAAAAAATAACACTGACCTTCCAAATCTGATGAAATAGTTTGTTCATTAAAAAAACCTCCCCTGAACTAAACCAACTGAAATTATCCTTATGTTTCTTGAACAGCAGGAGATGATTTAGTTTCAATGTAATTCCAGTGATTGATAAAGATAAAAGCAAAGTAGAATTTAATTTAAATTTCATATCTATTAATTTGTTACTTCTAACTGCCATGTCATTGGAACATTAATACATTTTCAATCTAATGGCACTACAAAATCATCCCTGTGATATTGTGAAATGACAATACCATCTGAGTCCCATAATCACTCATGTTTCACTCTTTTCCAAAGAAAGAATTGTTCATTTTCATTTTGCTAAAGCACAAAAGATCTTTTCTTAAGCACTTTGGTATATCTGTTGGCTCAATTGTATTGGAAAGCCCCCAACACCTAGGACTGGTTTGTAAATTGGTGCCTCATTGGAGATCAATCAGCTTTCGCTCTTAAACAGTCTGTTTTGCTTTATAGATAAATACATTAACCTTTAGTCTCAACACTTAAGTGATATTGTATGACTTCAAAATGTTTTATTGATGTATTGAATGTAGAATTATGAAAGTCCAAATGTGGCATTCATATAAATGACTTTATTTTAGTTTTATATTATGTTTATATTAGCTTGCTTCAATTCAAAGTGCATCTTCCAGTATTTTCATTCCATAATAACTGATTATAAAGAATGTCAATGATTTGTTAGATGACATTTCATTTATTTTGTGATCGGCTATGAATACTGCCAATTAATGTAAATAGTTTGTAAAGTAGGGAACAGAAATGAAGAAGTCTTTAGCTACGATGGAATATTAATGATAGGGGTGGCATTTTCTAATCTTACATTGTAAACACAATACTTTATTTTCTTTCTCCAATAAATTGTCACACTTAGTTTAGATACGATCAGAAAATGATTGGCTCATACCATAACTATAACTTAAAGGAGTCTTCTTTAACATTACTTTCTCTTGTCTATGAATTATCAATGCTGGAGGGAACAAATCTCCCATCTTTTGCATATGAACATTGTGTCTCCAGTGTCATCTACAACTAGTTTCCCATCTCTGATTTGACGTTATTGTACGAAGTACATTTGTAATAATATCTAATAAAAGTCATAAAGTAAAAAAAAAAGCAGGATGAAACTGGACAACCCATTTATTTGAAATTACAATGCATGTATTTAAAGCTAAAATCTTAAGAAAAAAGAATCATGAAAATTCATTTAGTGTAATGACTGGTTGATGTTTAAATAAATTTACTTGCTTGATTTAATTTCGTGATTCTCAATCTTAGTAAGGCCCTGGACAAATTGTGTAACAATGTTGCTTTGATCTAAATACTTTTTACTGTTGAATATAAGTCTTTGGTTAATTATGCACAGTATAGTTCAAGTCTTGTTTATAGACCTCTGTTGTTATAAAAGTATAAATACATATCAAAACAAAAGTTGATAATTAAGGCTAAAGTGGAAATTGTTTAGGAGAGTCAGCATATTATAATTTGTGTACAGACGATTGTTTGTTGCATTAGAACATGGTCAGTGCCAACTATGTTCGTATTGCTATTGTTTGCAGAGACAGTTCAGTTTTCTCAAAACTATTCTAAGGGATGCACAAGATCCCTCTACCACAGCTTCCTCCTGCCACCATCCCACACATTCCTAAATATCAGTAGTTTTGCAGCTTTGCAGTATCCACATATTGATGAGCAAAGATATTTTGTATTAGTTTACTTTGGATTGTAGCCACGTTTGTTCACAAGGAAACATCATCTTTCCTCAGCTGTCTGAATGTTTTGCTGCAATGCCTTCCTGTCATTGTACCGAAAAGATTCAAAGAAGAACCGCTTGCCAAGAAAAAAGGCATGTTTTCCACAGACTTCTGTGAAATGAAATATTGAATTTCTCAATAGAGTTTTTTTTTCTTTTCTTTTGCTAAGCAGCTACTAAGCAAAGCATGTATTGAGCCAACAAAGTTCTTAGCAATGGTCAACTGCAGAAAGCTGACTCATGAGGGATCATGGTCTATGTGTGATAGCAGAAAGAATGTGATAAAGTGATGATTTGCACTGTTAAATGTAATGAGGTTATAAGTGCCATTGATTAAGAGCAATATATTCCTTCTGAATGTAGAACTTCTGTAATGACAGCACTATTTTTTATGTAATGTAAAGATTTCTGCTGCTTACCTTTGTACTCAAAAAAGTTCTCAGTATCTATTCTGGTTTATCAAAAGCATGTTATTTTTACCTTCATCTTAAAATTTAGAAATTTTGCAATATTTTATTCTCTCTAGGCTTTGTACCATTGTTGGTACTTTTTGCTTTGTTTGCCAGCCTCTTTAACCCCTTCAGTGTCAGATCTTAACAGAATTTGTGCTAACACATTTTAGTTAAATATGCTTTCAAATGCTAGTGATATATATGTAAGTATTTAACATTTATTCAATGTAAAGAAATATATTTACCATGTTTTCAAAAAACTGAGAGCTGGCACAGAAGGGGTTAAAATATGACTAATATTAACATTTATCCTTTAAGCAATGTTATGAATCATAAACATTTGTACTCAAATGCTAACCTAATAAAATTTCATCTTATCTTGCTTAGATCTGTGCAATTTAACAATAAAAAAGAAAAAAAAGCTTGAATTTTTGTCTGAGTTGGTTTTGTTTTTGATAAGGATGACTTATTGACATGAGAAATTAATAACATAATGTAGCGGCTTTTTGAATTTGTCACAGTTTCTGCTCAATTGACTTGTTGCTGTTAAATTTAAAGGATTAGCTTATATGAATCAAACCAAGTCTGCAAGCTGCACTACACATTCAGTCAATGTAATAATCTAAAAATTAGTATACATAAAATTTGTGATACTTTTAAGTAACCATATTAACTGTTCCAAAAAAAGAGAAGCTTAACAAACTTAAAGGTAGGCATTATTGAGGGATGGAAGCATAGAATTGTAAACAAACGTAACAAATTAAGTGGGCAAAAATGTGACAAATTAATTTTAATAAAGGTTAATGTGAAGTCATCTACTTTGGACATAAAAAAGCTTGAGCATTTTCTCAAAAGTGGAGATTCTAAGAGACTTGGTGATCAACAGATCATTAAAATATTAGGAGAAGGTTCAGAAAACAATCAAGAAGGTGAATGGAATGATGGCCTTTAAATACAGAAGACTAGAGTACAATGAAGTAGATGTCAGTCTCCAGCTATTCAAAGGCCTTTTATTGAACTATATCCAGCATATCCATATATACAATATATACATTTCAGGGAGTGGTTTGTACATGACCATCTTATTCTAAGGATTTCTATATGCTGAATATCACAAGGCCTGATGTCCCTGTTAGTGATGTCATTAGCTATCCTATTGATAGCTGCTTCCCTTATATGACACCTCTCCCAAGTATTCACTTTGTCCCTGATTTTTCAGTTTTTTTCCAATATTAATTTGTGTCCCAATATGTCTATGTTTCTATTTATTAACATGTGTCTATTCCCCTGCCCACCAAATCTTTGAATTGCCAATCATGTCCTCAGCCCTCCTAGTGGACAAACAGGATTTGTGCCAAGTATGTGTTTGCTTCTCAGATGACCATTGTCCATTCCTTTATCTTTGGGAACTGCACCATTGTGGATGACATTCCTCTACAGCTCATGTTGGTGGAATTAACTCTTTGTTGTGATATCACAGAAGTCACTCAGCTGAAGCTGCTGGACTTCTCCCAGTCTGGCCTATGTTTAGAGTGGCCACTGTATCAGTTATGTGATGAGGGATGGTTGAGAGCCATTTTCCTAATCTGTCATGTGTCATATCTTCAGCAAAGTTGATCTTTTGAGTACCCCACATTGGATCCTTTAGTGTCATTGGAGCTGCTTCTGTCACATCCCCAGTGTAGTAGTTTCGTCCAATATGTCTTCGTTGAACTGGGGAGTCCTGTTCTCTGTGAACATGATTTCATAGAAACATAGAATCCCTACAGCGTAGAAATGGGCTTTGGCCCAACAAATCCACACCAACCCTCAGAACATCCCACCCAGACCAATCTCCCAAATCTACACATCCCTGATCACTATAGGCAATTTAGCATGGTCAACCCACCTAACCTGCACATATTTGGACTGTGGGAGGAAACCGGAGCACCCAAAGGAAACCCATGCAGACACAGGGAGAATGTGCAAACTCAACGCAGACAGTCACCTGAGGGTGGAATCGAACCCGGGTGTGAGGCAGCAGTGCTAACCACTGAGCCACCGTGCCACCGTAAATAGCATTCATCCCTGGGTGGGCTTGTTTTGACCTTCTGGGGAACGGGTAGTCTGCACTTGCCTAAGACTCAGTCTCCTGAATAGTTCTGTCCATGTTCTCCTCTGCAACAGCTTATAGGGAGCCTCATTGATGGTTTCCCTTTACTTCCGGCATGGCTTCAGAAGAAATTTCCTCATGCCTTTTGTCAGGCTCATCATTTTCCTGACCTAGCCTATATTCCTTGATATTTTTGATATGCTGAGGTCTATCAATCTCAGTTTTGAAGGTCCTCAATGGCTGACCCTCTGCAGTCATATGGGGCAAAAGAATTCCACAAAATCATCATCCTTCTTTCTCATCTCAGGCGTAAATGATATTCCCCTTATCCTGAAACAATGTTCCTTGGTTCCAGAAATACACACTTACACCCCACCTCCACCTCCAACCCTTCCATGGGAATCATCATTCCTACAGAAAATATTGGTGTCAGTGTCTGTTTCTGCATAGGACAACACCTCTACCCCAGGAATTCATTCAATTAACCAACTCAATCCCTCTGTGGCAAGTATGTCTTTCTTCAGGTAAGGAGTCAAAAAATGCACAAAGTACTCCACATGTAGTCTCATCAAGGCTCCACACATAATAACCATAAAATATCTTTACTCCTCTACTCAAATAATCTTGCAATAAAAGTGCACATACTGTTTGACTTTTATTTGTTGTTCCTGCCTCATGAGCAAGGACATCCATGTGATTATGAAATTCAGCTCCTCCCAGCCTCTGAACCTTTAAGAAATTCTTTGTATTTCTGTTTCTTCCACAAACTGGATAATCTCACATTCTTGTATTTCATCTATCAAATTTTTACCTACCCATTTAGCCTCTCAAAATTCCCTTTAACCTCGTACTTCTACCTAGTTTTGTGTCATCTGCAAACTTGGAAATGTTCCATTTAATCCCCCCTATTCAAATAATTGATATAGATTGTACACTTCCACAACCCCCTGTGGGATGGAATATTCATAAGGTTCACAACCATATGAGTAAAAAAAAATTCCTCATCTTGGATCTACCTTACATCACCCTTATTTTTAAATTGTGGTCCCTGGTTCCCAACTAGATGAAGCATCTTACCTGCACATACCCTGTCTAATCCTTTAAATATTTTATAAGTTTTAATTCAAACATTGCACCTTCACAAATATACTGGAGAATACAGGCCCAGCTTGCCCTAACCTTACCTCATAAGATTGACTTGCAGTCCAGGGAAAAAGGCTGATGAACCTTCCTTGCACTCCCTCTCTTGCAATAATGTCCCTCCTGACAGAAGGAAACCAAAGCAGTTAACAGACCTCCAGATGTAATCTAACCAAGCGCTTATATAATTGCAGCAAGACTTCACTACTCCTGTATTCAAATACCCTTCCAATAAAGATAAACATTCCATTACCCTCCCTAATAGCTTGTTTACCTTGCCTGAGAAGTTCGATTTAACCCACAGCAAAGTCTTTAGAGTTAAGGCAAAGTTCATTAACGTATTCAAGACCATGGGGAATGGTTCAACATTTATCCTCACACACTGATATCCAAGGAAGAAGGAAAAGAGAAAGGAAATGAGTGAAGTTACGAAATCCAAATTAAAGATATTAGAATTAGTTCACATGAATTAGACAATGTCCAGTGAAGACTTTTTCAGTTGTGTCTGCACAAGAGCTCCATGAAGTTGAATTGCTGGTGAAGATGTAGAAATTATAACCTGGGCATTGGTTCATGTCACAGGTGAAGTACAGGATTCTTTCCAGATATCAGAGTTTTGAGGGTGATATGATCAGCGGCAGGTGTTGGCTAAGCCTGGAGCTGGTTACTTCTATAACGTTGCAAGCAGACTGAGGAAATAAATCAAATACTGTATACGCAAAGGTGATTCAAGCAAACCAACAGTTTCAGTCAAGTGACTGGTGCATCTGGCTTAGCCACTCATCTAACAAATTATGAACATGGGAAATCCCACCACCTCTTTCTGAAGCTGCAGCCACATGGCATGAGCAACCCTGCTATGAGTAAAATGCTGGGGGTTGGAAGGGGGAGGCCCTTAATTGGCTACTTAAGAGTCTCAATTGGTCCAATAGCTGACAGATCATCTGAAACCTCTTCTGCTGTTGTTAAAATCCTATTGGGAGAGCTCTTGTAGTGTCCCTACCCTTGAGCCAGGTGTCCTGGGTTCAAGTCCCAACTGCTTAAGACGTGTGTAATAACAACTCTGACAATCTTAGTGGAGGTAGATAGGCAACAGTCATGACAACTCTTGCCATATCACTTCTTTCCCCAGCTAGTAAACCACTCAGTTGGTGGAGCAGAGGATGGTATATAAAATTCTGTCTATTGTTCCTTGCAAATGTTCAGGTTGAAAGTAAATATCATCTCCAACAGAGATACGTTCTTCCCCTCCTCATCTTTCCTTTTCCAGCAACATAACCTTCTCTGTTGCCTCTGTTCTTATTTCTAGTCACACTGTATTTGAATAAGAATGGTTACTGCTGAACAGAAGTCTGGGAACAACTACTTATGTAGAATACTTTAAGCCAGCAATAACAATTTGAGCACCTGCCACACCACACCCTGCAGACTTTTGCCCTGTACAATAAGACAAAACACCAAATGCTCATAGCATTGAAGTAACAGCCAAAAGAAATCAACCCACAACAAACCTATAGTGGAAATTCCTCCTTGAAGCAGAATGCTTATTCAGCTGTGAGAGGTTAAGCAAGGGCCTTAGCTCAAGGCTAGAGATCCAAAATAACGCCATTGGCAACGAATCAGCATTGTATGCTAATTAATATCAGAATCTTCTGCTCTGCGCATTTCCAGTGGCCTCCAAATACCTTAGTGAACACACCTAACAGCCTCACCAATAAGGCATTCAGCACAACATGTCTCAAAAGTCTACATATACATGCCAATGTTATTTTGGTGCCTGAATATGGCATGCACCCAAATAGCAGGCACTTCTTGTGTTTCTTTTAAAAAAATAGTGACAGCAATAATCTATTTCTTTCCTTGCATTTATGAAAACTTTGTGGCCTCAGACATTCATTATACTTAGAGCCATACAGTAATAGAGATGTATAGCATGGAAACAGACCCTTCGCCCAATTCGTCCATGCCGATCAGACATCCTAAATTAGTCTAATTCCATTTGCCAGCATTTGGCCCATATCTCTCTAAACCCTTCCTATTCATGTACCCATCCAAATGCCTTTTAAAAGTTGTTATTGTACCAGCCTCCACCATCTCCTCTATCAGGTCATTCCATACATGCACCATCCTCTACGTGGAAAGGTTGCCCCCTTAGG